CAAGAAACACAGAAACAATGTCAGTTATTATACAGTCTGAGATGATTATTGTCTTAGTATACATACCTACTCGAAGGCATGCCAAGGGGCCTTTCTCTCTTTTGAATTTAGGACTGGATAATGCATTGACTTTTTATTTATTTTTATTAGTTTTTAATCCTCACCCAAAGATATGTTTCTTATTAATTTTTAGAGAGAGAAAGGGAAGGAGAGAGGGAGAGGGAGAGAGAGAGAGAGAGAGAGAGAGAGAGAGAGAGAGAGAGAGAGAGAAATCGATGTGAGAGAGAAACATTGATGGGTTGCCTCCCCTACATGCCCTAACCTGGGATTGAACCCATAACCTCAGTATGTGCCCTGATAGGGAATCAAACCCGCAACCTTTTGGTGTACAGGACAATGCTGCAACCAACTGAGCCACCTGGCCAAAGCAGACCTTTTCATTTTTTAAATGTTAATATCTAGTAACGAGAGAGTGCTGTTTTTTAAAATTAAAATGGTCTGTTCCCATCACAGATTGTCTTCTTTGTACCAGAATTGGATTTCAATACAACGAAGCACATCATGCAGACATGCCATCAATTAGGAGCAGTAACCCTGGAATACAACCGGTGAGGGAGCACTTACACTTATCGAGGGAGAGGCCAGTGAAGGCAAAAGGCGAGCCACTGCAAGTTAATGTTCTCAGAAGTAATTCTGTGGGCTGCCAACATGGCACACATTAATAGCCCGAATCTGGAGACCGATTGATTTGACTGAGAAACCAACCCGGAGTCATGGTGAAGGTTGCTTCTCAACGTAGAAGCTCTCAGTATGATCGTGCTTTTCTAGCCCAACACTCCAAGCAGAGACAGTACTCTTAGCGCTGCATTTATCCTAAAAAGAAACCTACTTTTTGTTTGTTTCATATAAAGGTGCTGAGCAGGCTAGTGGTGGCTCTGAATCCATGGATAACCCTGGACCTGCCTCAAGAGCCTGCTGTAAAGGTAAGAAGTTACACCGCAGTCCTGGGGATACTGCTTGGGCATAGTTTGAAAACAACTAATTTATTTAAACAAGTATGATGACCTGCTTCATTCAGACCCTCTAAAATGTGGACATTTCCTTGTTGCACAAGCAGAAGCTCAGTTCCCTGGCCTGTGCCTACACCTTGTCTCCTGCTTCAGCTTCCTTGAGCAGTGGCTTCAGGATTAGCTCCCACCATAGACATTGTAACTTGGCCATTTTTACTAAAAGAAACTTTAAAGCAACTTCCCTACACACGGATGAGGGATGCGACTCCAGCCTTAGACTTCTGTTTCTGAACTGGACAACATTTATTCACAGTTCTTGTGCATTTTCTTGTAAAATAGGTATCCCTTTTACCTGAGGTGTTATAAGAATCAAATACTTCATTTTGAAAGGAAAGCAATCTTTCTGTCAGATATGTATGTGTCTTAAACTAGTTTTGACAAACTATTATAGTTATATTCTCAAGCTTTTAGACTTATTTCCAAATAAAAATACCTTCAAGTCCTGCATTTTAGAATGCAGGAAAAGTAATTTTTTTTTTTTTTTTTTTTGGCCAAGATTTCCATTCTCTATCTTGAGATATTTATATTTATCTTAATGCTTTTATTATGTTAAAGGCCCAAAAATGGCTTTAAAGTGAGTAGATTTATGTCTGCCATTAAGAAAACATTTTCATAGAGGTATTAATTAAGAAGTATCAAGAACTGCCTGTCTGGCATGACTCAATGGTTGAGCATCGACCTATGGACCAGGAAGTCATGGTTTGATTCCTAATCAGGGCACATGCCCGGGTTGCAGGCTCAACCCCCAGTAGGGGGCGTGCAGGAGGCAGCCAATCAGTGATCCTCTTTCATCATTGATGTTTCTATCTCTCTTTCTTCCTTCCTCTCTGAAATCAATTAAATATATATTTTTAAAAAAGAAGCATCCAGAACTTAGAAATAAATTTAGCATTAGAAATAGTTGTAACCAACATATATCTGATTAGTCCAATTGTAGGAATAACCAAGGGATTATCAGGAAATGTATGGTTCAGGAGGTTTGGGGGCATCCATTTTAATGATTCCCAGTGGCTTGTCATTTTTTTTTCTTACATGAAAATCCACAGCAGGCATTCCAGACAGGTTCATCTTTTACTTGGACCCAGACTCCTTCCATCTTGTGGCATTATCTTGTCAAGAATCTTAGTCTTCTCCAGCGAATAGATCAGAAAGGAAACCACAGGAAAAGCATCCCTGATTCTTAATCATTTCCCATAGGAAGTGTCACTCATCCCTTCTGTTCATGTTCCATTGGTGCAAATAATGTGGTGTCACCCGGCAGCAAAGGAGTTGGGAAATACACATTCCCTCCCAGGCAGCTGCTTCTCAGGAACAACCCCACACTTACTCCGCCACGTGGTGGCTCAACAGAGACTGTCCGCATATTTCCTAACTTTTGGAGGAGGAGAAGTCGCAATGATATTCATCCATTAACCTCTCTCTGGGAGAGCATAAAGAATTGGTGGTCATAAGCCATAATTGGAGAGCTCACTCTTCCTTTTCATTTGTAGGGTGCCTTTCCTTCTATTTCTATTTAATTTGCTAAAGTGATCAGGAGATGAAGAGAAGAGAATGGGGGGTTCGCATTTGGGCTCCAAGCCAGGCAGCTTAGCCGTAGAGATTTCATTTTTAAATTTAATTTTAATGAAAATGGGCAGCTAGAGATGGAACAAAATTCAAGAAATGGAAATTAAAGAATAAAATCAAATCCCGGGGGAGCACCCACTTAAAGATTTATACAGGCTTCTGAATGAGAATAACAGTATTTCATGTCATTCTCACGTCTATTGGTGATAAAGACACAGCTGTACATTGACATCTGTGACAAAATTATAGATACATTTAAAATATGTTTTAGATAAATACATATACACTTGTGTATCATACTGCACTTCATTTCTAAATGGCAAACTATGTAATGCATTATATAATGGTAATAGCAACACTACTGCATAAGCTACACACATATATCATAATTAGCTAATTTTTTCCATTTTCCTATACCTTTACGAAATGGCACTCAGCTTATTAATTTATAGTAGAGTCTTAAAAGGCATTTCATTTAATCCTAAAAGATTAATCTTCAATCCTAAAAGAACAGCAGGATCACATAAAAAGAGACCCAACATTTGTCAAAGGAGAAATATGAAGACCTGGCCTTTAGAAGACCTTCAACTATTTTCTTGCCAATATCTGACCATCCCGTGCCCTATTGTTCTTGATCATTTTGTGCAGAAAATTATCTACAGTAACATTTTTCCCCCTATGCATGCACCAAGGCTGCCAAATTCTGCTGAACACTGCTAAAGAATGTCACACTAAAGGGCAGATTGGTGCCAAAATGCACTCATGTTGGCTCATCTTACCCAGGCTCTCAATAGTGTCTGTGAATCCCATTAGCTTTCCATTATACCACTTAATTCTCACTTCTCACAGATACTGTCAAACCTTCCCAAGTCTCCTCAAATTTTCAGCGCATCCGTCTTTTCCCCAAGTACAGGAGCTTACTTAAAATCACTGGAGAAAACTCTTGGACTTTTTGCTGTCCAGGCTACAAGCTGCCTCCATCTTTCTCTTCTTCCTGTTGGGTGAGGAAGACTTGAATTTCCATCTAATAACTGATCTACCATATATCTGAATTCTGGAACCTTTCCCCTCTGGATCCCTTAGATACACAGCCACCCCACCCCCCCCTTCCTCCAACTGCTTGCATCTTGAATTCTCCTTCACTTCTGGATGTGTCACACCAGAATTCCATGATGAATGGCTTTCCAGCAACGAAAAAGAGAAAAAAAAGTAAAGAACTTTCCTTTGGTCGAAACCGGTTTGGCTCAGTGGATAGAGCGTCGGCCTGCAGACTGAAAGGTCCCAGGTTCGATTCCGGTCAAGGGCATGTACCTGGGTTGCGGGCACATCCCCAGTGGGAGATGTGCAGGAGGCAGCTGAGCGATGTTTCTCTCTCATCGATGTTTCTAACTCTCTATCTCTCTCCCTTCCTCTCTGTAAAAAATCAATAAAATATATTTAAAAAAAGAACTTTCCTTCGATCTAAATTACCTCTGCAAATTCTATTCTCTCTTGTCTCCCTTTCACAGTCAAAATTCTTGAAGGTGTTATCCATATTTTTTGTCTCAATTTCCTGAACTCATCCACTGTTATTTTTCTCTTGCGATATACCCCTGACCTTGCTCACACATGCTGTCAGTTCCCACATACTGCAAATAGGACCGCTTTTCAGAGGTCTTGCTTGACTTCTTGGAAGCATTTGACGCTGTTGAAATCTTTTCTTCACGAACCTCTACTCTCTTGCCTCTCTTGGCACAACTTTCTCCTGATTTGCCTCCTTTCCTCTGGCTTCTCTTTATTTTCCTTTGAGTGTTCCTTTTGTTATACTTCCACTTTACATATGGATGACCTTCATGGCTCAGTTCTAGTTTTTTTTAGCCACCTCACTGTTATTGAGCTAATACAGAAACCGGGTAAACTCATCTACTCCCAAAGCTTCAAAAACCATTAGTGAATTGATGACTCACAAATCGATGTTTCCATCACTGACTTCTTTCTAGGCTCCAGTGCTATTTATCCAACTGCTACTGAACATTTCCATGTGCATATTTCATAGACAACTTAAGCCTAATATGTTGAGAAGTGCACTGATGTTCTTAAATCTCTTTTACACTTAATTCTCCTCTTGTGTTTTCTTTCTTCTTTTTTTTTTTTTAAATCTGAGCTCAGACCAAGTGTAGAAACCTTCATAATTACAAAGGTCAGTAGTCAAACCTTTTCATCACTGCTCAGAAATGATCAGCCTTACCAATACACGTCCCCACCTCCCTACCCTCAATATCATTTATCCATCAGCAAATCCTCAGTTCTTCACTGTCATCTTTATAAACATAAGTTCTCTCTCTCTCTTTCTCTTATTGTTTTAAATTACTTTACACTTTTGCTTCTCAGAACTAGCGAGATCATGTTTCAGGTGGACTGGTCGGTCTTCTGATGTGCAGATTTGGCTATTTTCATCACTGACCCACTTCAGTAGGAGCAGATCTCAGAGAATTCTTCTTGTGTTTTCTACCCCTGAAATATTATTGCCTTCCTACTTAGGACACCTTTCACATCTAGTAAATCACCAAATCATTCAGCTTCTATTGTCAAATTGCTTTCTGGGTAGTACTCTTTCTTCCTACAGCTACTACCCAGGTCCAAGCAAAAGCCACCTCCTTTCTCAAAGGTTGCCACATTTTCTTAAATGGCCTTTCCTTTTTCTTTCTTTTTTTTGGCCTTTTCTTTTTCAATCTCTCTCCCCTAATACACTCTCCACAGTGCACACATGAGAATATGATTATGACATTCACCTGCTTAAAATCCTTGAGAACGTGCACATTGCTCTTATGATAAAGTTCAAGCTTTGGGACAGGTCATAACTGATTAGGTCCTTCATGGTCTGACCTCAGCCTTATCATGCATCCTCCGTCTCAAATTCAATTGTCCAGACATATTGAACTTCTAACAATTCTTTGAAATATAACTTGCCCTTGCCCACCTCTAAGACTTCATGTCTCATTTTCCTTCTCTGGAACATTCTTTAGCTCTCCTCTTTTCTGGTTGATTTTGTTCACCCTTCTAGTCTTACGTTATACATTACTTCCTCAAGCAGCCCTTCTTGGATTCTTGGATTAGCTTAATAAATACCACTGAAATATGATTTTAACATTTATGCATGTCCCTTATCATAATTCAATACTTTACTATTGTTGCCTGTATATTAGTTTCCTCTTACTGTTGTAATTACCAAAAACTTTGTGGCTTAAAACAGCCACAGATTTATGATATTATAGTTTTGGAGGTCAGAAGACTAAAATGGGTCAGTAATTCTGTGTTGGTTCTGTAGGCCCTGGGAAAGATTTCATTTGCTTAAGGGTTTTATCTTCACAAGATTGACTACAGTCCTTGGCTCATGACCCCTTCTTCCACCTTCAGGGACAGCAGTGTAGGCTCTTCAAATCTCCCTCTCTGACCTCTGTCATCACATCTCCTTCTCTGACTCTGTCCCTCCTGCCTCCTTCTTTCCCTCATAAGGACCCTTATGATTACAATGGGCCACCTGGATAATCCAGGATAATCTCTCCACCTTAATATCCTTAATTTAATCACATCTGCAAAGCCCCCCCCCCCTTTAATATATTTTTTATTGATTTCAGAAAGGAAGGAAAAGGTAGAGACAGAAACATCAATGATGAGAGAGAATCATGGATAGGCTGCCTCCTGCACGCCCAATACTGGGGATCGAGCCAGTAACCCAAGCATGTGCCCTTGACTGGAACCAAACCCGGGACCCTTCAGTCTGCAGGCCAATGCTCTATCCACTGAGCCAATCCAGCCAGGGCCAAAGTCCCCTTTGCCATGCAAGCTCACATGTACCAGGTTCTGGAGATTAGAAGAAGACATCCTAATGGGAGTGATAGTCTGCCTCCCAAATATATGTTTAAATGTCTATTTTTCTTATTAGGTTTATGAAATATCCTTTATTCCCCTCATGATGCCTAAGGCCTAGCCCAGTGCCTAACCCAGGAGAGGTGTTCAGTACTTGCTATAAAGAGTTCTAGTTGTAATTTCAATTTATTGATATATACATGTAGATATAACAAATGTATGTACCGTTAACAAGTATAAATTATGAACGACCATCATAAATCAACTAAATAAAATTGGAAATAGTATTTTTCTTGTTCTGCTCTATTGCTCCTTTCATTTTTTCATCGGAACTAGTTTTTGTCCTGTCCTTGAATAAGAACTCAGGCCCTATTGCTTCTCTGTCCACTTATAGGTGTTGAAACAACCTATTAAATCACAAAACACAGTTTTAATTTCATAATTAAAATGCCCCATCTTATGAATATGTCACAAATCTGGGTTTCCTCTTAGGTTGCATCACTTTTCCTCCTCTCCACTATATCTCCCATATGGTGGTTCCTGCCCCCTTCACTGTAGGAATAGAATGGAGGGAGGAGAGTTAAGTGGGACAGAAGGCATTACTTGGCTGAAGCTGTGCAAGTGGTGTAATTTCAGTTCTCTCTGGTTGAAAGCTGATTCTCGTGTTCATTCATGGAATATTGGAGGATACCTCTCCCACTCTACCCCTGAGGAGCTCTCTCCTCCACCCCCTCGGTTCTTAAAAGTCATCCTCAGCCTCTACCTGCTGTAGAAGTCCCTTCAGCTGAACTGCTTGGGCAGGTTAAGTGAACCCCACTGAAGCTTCCTTTCCTGTGTGTTTCAAAAGCGGTCCCAGGGGAAATGCTCATGAATCCATTGTCCCTATAAAGTGGGGGTGCCATTAGCATCTTCACACCAGCCCTCTCTTCTGCTGCAAGAGACCACTTTACACAGCTTCCTGCTCATGAACTTAAGTTTAGCTAAGACGCTCGCCCACTATGCTCTCTAAGTTGAGTAGTCTTTTTAAAGACCCTTTGGTGTGTGTGTGTGTGTGTGTGTGTGTGTGTGTGTGCGTGTGTGTGTGTGTGTGTGTTGGGGGGAAGCATTCACCAGACACCTCTTTCCAAATAAAACCTCGACAAAGTGCTCCTTAGAGAACCAAAACCAAAACCAAAAAACAAAATCTATCTATGGATGTGAGAGGTTAAACTCATGCAGCTGGATCATCAACAGCTATTGTTGAAACTTCCATCATAGCCTAGAACCTCACTTTTGAATATACCTGGTACATCCTACCTGAGTTAAATAATGAGTATTACTGTACTAAGTCTTGTCTTATTAACCCTTTCAACTCAGCGAGAAAGGCATTGATGTTGTCTTCGTTCTAGAGATGAAGAAACCAAGGCTCGGAGACAGTAAGGCATATGGTAAAGATCACATTGTTGATAAACAGTGGACCCAACACTCACCACCAGGGTACAAAGCCAGAACTATGCCTTTTCATATGACAACATTCATCACACTTTCTTTGTTTAAATGCCCGTCTCCCATAGCAGATTGTAATTTCTTTCCTAGTCCCTTCACCATTCTTAGAGTAATGCACATGTATGTTGTAACACTAATGTAATTCTCAGTTTTTAAAATGCAATGCAATATAGTGTTTCACATGCTATGGATGAAGAAGTGACTTTTCTATTTAATAATAAGGACAAACAAAAAAGCAAAATAAGTTTAAGAAGAAAAAAGATCCCAAAGTATAAAATGCCTTTATTATAATATCCAATTAAAAAATAAACAGTATGGTCATTTGTTTTTGTCTACAAAAGACCAAAAATTAACCTTATGCTGAATTTCACACTCATTTTCTAGATGCGCAGGAGGCTGTGACCAGCTGCTGCAGGAAACAAGCTATTAGATGTAACTCACATTGCCCACTGCCAAGCTTCCCTTATTGAGCTTCAGCATCAAAACAAACAAACAAACAAACAAACAAACACAAAACACTATGCTTCTTTGGAGTAGACTTTAATCTTAAAATTAGGTAATTGACTCTTTCTATCTTTGCTTTAGTTTCCAAAAGAGGATTGTGCGAACTCCAGCCCGTGGGTAAATGTGGTCCACTGCCTATTTTTATAGTTTCATTGTTACACAGTCATGTCCAGTCATTTACGTTTTACATATGACTGTTTTCAGATAAAATGATAGAGTTGCTGCAGAGTCTTTATGACTCCCAAGGTCTAATACAGGTGCAATGTAACCCTTTGTAGAAAAGGCTACTGACCCTTGCCCTAGAAAGCTTAGATTGGCATTTGCCTTTGTATAAGACACTGCAAAATAATGCTGCAGACTGTGTTGCCCCAACTGTCTATCAAATGTGCAAAAGTGACTTTTTAACTTTTATCTGTCATTTTTTATCTTTTGGATTTTACCTTAGTTTCTTGTCTTTATTATATTTTCTGTATATTTTTAGCAACTTTAAATTTATTTTATTTTACTGATTTCATGACTTTTCAAAAGCTTCCTTAAGTTACTTTGAAATAACATGTCATAAAAATAAAATATATTTTGCAAGTTGGCTCAAAGTGTTTTAGTTAAAATAAAGTTGAAAATAAAGAAATAGATGTATAAGTAAACAAGAAAATTTAAAACAAACCCTGGTCAGTTTGTACTGCCTTGAATATTTCATTGTTTAATTTTTATTAGATATTTCCGTATGTTTCTTTTTCAACTTTGTAAGCTTTAGAAGAATTATTTGATTTTTTTGTTTTTGGCAGAAAAAGGCCAACACACAATAAATATAATTGTTCATTTTGAACTTTATGCTCTGTTTTCTGAAAGATAAGAGTGTATTTACTACAGGGTAAAGTTGAATAAGATCCAAAATAATTTCTTTATTAAAAGTATGCCCTTTTAAAATTAAAATTTATTTTGATTTCATTATTGACTTTGTTTAAGCAAGTAGAATGAAATTAATGCCTTCCTGTGTCTCTCTATAATAAAAAATGCTGTATTAAATTGGACATGTGCTCTCTTTTATAAAATGCCATTTACTTAGAATATATGTTTCTACTATTGAAGCAACCACTGGATTCCATAAAGCATATATATTCATCTCAGTGGAAACCACTATGGGTAAAATTACATTAACCTTCTAACTGAATGTTACCATTTTGTCTAATGCACTGTTTTCTTAGCAAATCTTAGCTACCCCTGTTTTCTTTAACTTCTTTCATTCAAATGTTTTATGATATTTCAAAAATTATATTTTATTTTCTAGGATCTAAAATAACACTACAGATAATATATACACAGGTCCCACTACAGGGAATTTTATTTTGACTTCCGACCAACTCCAGACCAGATTAAAGGTTCTAAATTCAGTGTCTCTGATATAACACTAAGATAATTTTTATATTTTCAAAGTCCTTTTGCTTATTAATATGGCAAATATTTAGAAAGAAAATTTAAATCCCAAGACTATATTTCAAGTACTTTTCGTTAGTTTGTCATAATAAAATTAAGAGAACAAAGTGAAATAAGTTTATACTGAATTTTCCAATTAGAAATCAGTGACTTATTGTGGTGATCATTTCAC